AGAGGAGCTCTACTGGAAAAGGAACAAAAGCCGAGGGAAGCTATAAATAGCCGCCTCCTTCACACCAGCGCCTCCTCCGCCCCAGCATCCCGAGGCCGGGGGGGTCCCGGAACCTGGCCCGGGCTCAGCCCCACTGCCAAACCCCCTCCACGTCTTCGAGCCAACATCTCCATCTGAAAACCAGAGGGAATAAGAAGCCGGGGAATATCTGCCGCCGAAGCAGAGCTGCCTCCGAGCATCCGTGTGCCAAGTTAGCCGGCGGCTCTGCCCAGCCACAGCCCCGTGCCCCGGGGGATTTGCCGCTGCCCAGCCGGGCTCTGCACCCAAAAACACCCCGCGGGGACGGATTCCACCACCTGGGGATGCTCCTCTTGTCCCTGGCCCTGTCTGCGGCTGGCAGGGAGCAGCAAGAGCCGAGTAGCTCGGGCAGACCTACTTTCAAGGCTTTAATCCTTTTTGCTTAAAGAATCTTTTTTTTTTTTTTTTTTCTCTCCCCTCTCTTTCTTTTTTTTCCCCTTTCTTTTCCTCTCCGCGCGGCAAAGATGGGGTCTGATCAGAGGAGAGACGCAGGGAGCTGACAAGCTGCGGCGTACGGAGAGAAAGGAGAAAGAAATACATATTTATTACCCTCAATTATTAAAAAATAGATAGCAGCAGATCTTAGGCCCTGGCAGAGGCACTGCAGAGTCGTTTGTCTGAGGACTATTTTGTTTTTTAAATTCCATTGAAATTATAATACGCTGGGCTTGTTAGCACAAACACCCCGGCATATCCCTGCCGAGGGGGGATCATCCCGACCCCTCCGCTGCCTCCGGTGTGCTTCCCGCAGGGTGGCTGTATCCAGCACCCGATGGGATGCCGAATTTGCAGGCAGCGGGGAGGGAAGGAGGGAGGCTCAGGGAGGCAGGAGCTGGCAGCGGATGCGGCTTTTGTCCCCCTCTGCCTTCCCCCCGCGGGATCAGAAGGGATCTGCCCGGTGCTAGCACGTACCAAATGCACACGGATACCCGGCTGGATGAAGGTCTCATGGACAAGATCTTCACCAGGTCACCTCGGGCTAAAAAAAAGCCCCGTGACATTCCCCGTGCCCAAGGATGGGCTTGGCACCCCTCGGCTGGCACCGTGGGGGTCCCGCGGTCACGGGGATGGGGTTTCCCCAAGCAAACCAATGCAAACGCTGGTGCAAATGCAGCTGAAAAAAAAAAAAAAAACCTAAAAAAATAGAAAGCGGTTCCCAAGTGCGGCACACGGGGCTGGCGGAGCCGCTGGCACCTCCCCTCCGCTTGCAGGGCTGCTCCGAGAGGAGCAGCAGCCAAATTCCCTCCCCAGTAAACAGCGGCCGCATCCTCCCCGTGCCATGGCCATGCCGCCGCTTCGGCAGCACGTGGAGCACCTCTGACACCCTCCGGCTCCAGCACCTCCCCACACACGGGATCTCTTTGGATGCGCCGGACCTCCATGGATCTGCTGTGCCATCGCCTCTCCAGGGCCAAATCCCGCTTAGGAACCAGCTTTTGGCACCGTGAGCCACCAGAGCGGTCACGGCTCTCCCGGCCCAGGCAGGAGCATCGCTAAAAGCTGCTCACCAAAGCTGGGCGGGCTCCAAGCTGCCGTGCCGGCTCCGAGCCGAGCCGCCGTGCCAACGCCACCGGGAAGCAGGCAGCCAGCGGGCACATATGCTGCTCAAAAGGAAAAGGAGCTTTCTACACCAAATGGAGCATTTTCCGCTTAATAACCCCCCAAATCCTAATCTGTGCAAAGAAGATTGCCCCCCGAATCTTCCCGCCCTGCATCTGCCGCTCGCCCTGCCCGCACTTAACACCCGGGCAGAGCTGTGGCTGCCCCACCAGCACGGGCCCCCAGCAGGAAAAGCAGGAGGAAGACAAGGCCACGGGGAAAACAGGCGATGCCCGGCACTGGGCTCATCTCCTTTTGTCAGCAGAGAGCCTTCACCATTTGTCATCAGTAAAAATAATACTCCTAAAAGTGTCCCCCCTCTGATTGCCGGGCTGTGGGTTTCCATGGTGATGCTGCTCCGCAGGGATGGCACGGGGGGATCGGTGGGATTGGTGCTTCCTCCATTTGGGAGATGGGACGTGGTGTTGACATCCGGAGTGAGGACAGCACCAGCCCTGCTGCTGGCACAGGATCCTGAGGCTGAGCCAGCTCTTTCCACCTTGGGCTTGAGCAGCATCACCCAAAATAGCAGGGGAAGAGCAGCCTTGCTGGAGAGGACATGGATGCTGCTGTATCCCAGTGGTGCTCCTGAGGCCATGCCCTGCTCAGGGATCCCTCACTGATTCCCACCAGCGTCCCCCTTGCTCCTGGCCTCATGGCTCTCCCTGCAGCCTCCCACTTGTTGCCTCTGCTCTTAAATCAGACTTCAGCCTCCTTCAGTGGGCTCTGAACGAGGGCAGCACCTCACCCATCCCAACCTGCTGGGAACCCAAACAACAGCCACCCACGGCTGGGGTGTGGGTGCCTGTGCTGCTGCTGCTCCACCAAAGTGCTCTGCAAACATAATCTGCTCTTAATAACCCGAGTCTCTATTGATCGTGGCTGAACCCTGGAATTGCACTTTGCAAACAAAGCCCGAGGTTTTGGCTGTTTGGGGGAGACTGGAGCAGCTCCCTGGGGTGGGGATGAGTGGCAGTGTCACCCAGGGGTGCCCCAGTGTGGGGCATAGTGGGGACAGGTGATGCAGGGCTGAAGTGGCCGTGTCCTGGGTCACTCCTTTGCGAGGGGGGCTTTGTCTCTACGCTCCCACAGGGGCACTGCCAGGAGCAGGGGACACCCCAGTGGGAGACAGCCCTGGTCACACCTGGCCACCATCACATCCCTCCAGGCTCCCACACTTCCCTGCCTGGTTTTTGCCTTCAAACAAGATTTTGGCTCTTGCTGTCAAAACCCATCAGCGCTCCAGCAGTTTCCAGCAGCCCAAGTTCCTGCCCGGCCCCAAGGCAATGACATCCCACTCACGGCCTCTTCCTGCACACCATGGAGCCCCACTGCCCCTGCTGCTGGCCTGTGCCTCTGGCTCCAGCGCTGCCAGGTGCTTCAGGGAAACATGGGTGTGAAATCACGCTGGAAAATGCATATTTTTACGTCTCCCCAGCAGGTTCACTGATGTTTTTAGGGCAGTGCTTTGAGGCCACCTGGAGTGTCACCCACAGCTTCCAGCACCCAGATGGGACTGCGGGGCACCGGGTGTGGCATTTTAGGCAAAAGGTGGGAATAACATCCAGCCAAGTGTGGCCATGGCTCTGACCCTGCCGGGCTCCATCAGTGCAGGTCACTGAGCAGCCACGGCTCCTTCGCATCCCGGCTCCGACCCCAGCTCCAGGCAGGTCTCATCTGCTGAGCCCTCCTCGCTCCCCCCAGCACCACCAACCACAGGGACAGCCTGGGCCACATCCTGACCCCCTCCCTTGCTTCACCGGGCACAGAGAGCTTGTGGCTTCCTATCAGCTCTTTATGAAATTAAACTTTTATAAGCAGAAAGGTTTCTGGGCTCTTGGCTCCCCGGTGCAAGAACCGCAGCCCAGCCTGCGCCTGCACCCTGCCCACTGACTGCTGCACTGGCAGGGAGGGATGGAGGCTGGACACCCCATCGATGGCATGAGCGATGGAAGGGACAGGGATGTGGCTGCCCATGACCTTGGTGTCATCCTTGACCTGGAAATCTCCTTCTCCTGCATCGCCAGGATTGCACTCCTGCCTGCGGCTGCCTGCGGCCACCTCTGACAAGGCTGTGACACCCTCACCCAGGATGGAGCTGCACCCCACGCTGTCACCCACTGCCACACACCACTGACATCCCACTGCACAGAACCCACCCTCAATCCCACCAGTGACTCCACGGATGAAGCTCACAGGGCGCAAGAGGCCCAAAATGCCCTCAGGAGTAGCAGCACTTGCCCCGCCACGCTGCCGCCATCCTGCTGCAAACCGTGTGGCACCGCGTGCGAAGCCATTCCCCCGGAGCTGCCTCCCTTGGAGGTGTCAACCACGGCACAGCTCCTGCTGCCTCAAGCCCTGCCATGGCCCCCAGCCTCAAGCCTGGTCCCCAACAGTGGGATGTGGAAGGCGGTGGCAGTGCCACCCACCAGCACAGCCTCGCGTTGCCACCATCCTCGACAACACCAGCCGCCCCGGAGCCCCGCAGGGGGGTTTGGCCCCAGCCCAGCGCCCCGGCAGCAGCTGTCCCCTTGTCACCTTGCATCATATGTGGGATGTGCCCTCCACATCCCGCTTGAGGCAAATGCTGGGGACACAACGCCCTGCCCAGGGACACCTGGCCACGGTGAGGCAGGGAGGGGAGAACCTGTAGGCAGGGTGGAGGCCTCCTCTAACTGCCTGTTGAATTATTCAGGAACGGTATTAACTTATAAATGAGTGTGTTTGACTGATTTTGTGGTTGATGTACAGATAAATTCTAATGAAAGACAGCTACAAGATTTTAAATTATTAATTAGACTGCCACTTAACAAAGCCTATTTGGCACTCTATTTCCTTGCTTAACAAGACAAAAACTTTAAGAATAGGTTTTGCTTTAGCCCACAGGCTCTTCAATTTGCATTTTGTTTTTCTAGCTCCACAAATGAAAGCTGTAGATCTTGACCTTAACAGGCTACCCCTGGTGGGATCCAACCCTGTCGGCAGCCTCGCTGCCTGCCTCCACCTCAGGCTCCCAGTTTCCCAGCCTGGATGATGCTTTTCCTCCAGCCGGCTGCACCAGGGCTGGGAATCCAGGCTGGAAAGCGGGACTGCTCCAAAGGCTTGGGGGGTTTGTTCTCAAGTCATCCAGCCCGGCTGGGTTAATACACCAAACAAAGCTGAGGCGGGAGCCAGAGAAAGGAGCATCCGAGTGCGAGGCCACACAGCCGCAAGGTGACATTTCCCCCAGCGGGAAAAAGCGGCTCTGGGGTGGCAGAGGGGGGCTCTGCCCTGCCCGGGGGTCTGCACCCCAATGCCAGGGGCTGCAAGCACAGCGTTGGCACCCTCTCCGCTGCCCGAGCCTCGTCGGAGAGGGGCATGTGCCGCTGGTGGCGAGGGCTGGGCCCGGGGCTGTGCGGCCGCCCCCTCCCTGGGGCATGGGACAGCAGTGGGGGGTCCGGCCGGGGTCCCCCCGCGTGGCCTCGCTGTCCCCAGCATCTCCCCGGGACCGGCCCCGGTGCAGCGGGGCCGGGGGTCCTGCCCGCCCCTTCCCACCGTCCCGGACCCCCCGGGAGGGCCGGCTGCTCCCCTCGCCGTGATGTCACAAAGCTCCCCGATGATGTCCCAGGCGGTTGCCATGGAAATCGCGTGATGTCACAACGGAGCGATTCTCCTCGGGGGGGGCCGAACGGGACGGCTCGCCCCAACTTCCCCGCCGAACGCCCCGCGCTCCCCGGTGAGCCCCGTTTCCCGTTCCCTCGCCCTGAGGGACGCGCACTGACCCCCCCCCGCGCCCGCCGCATCCCCGCTGCCTCCGGGACCCGCCGTACCCCGGTGCCCGCGGGACCCGCCGCGTCCCCGGTCCTGCGGGACCCGGCGCCTGCCCTGCCTCCCTTCGCTCCTCCCGGTCTCCCGCCTCCCCGCCGCGCTGCGCTCCCGCCGGTGCCGCTCCCCGGGGGGTGCCCGAGCCTCGGTGGCGGCGCCGGTAACACGGTGGCGGCGGGGGGCGCCCGGCGGCGCGGCCCCAACTTCGGCGGGGAGACAAACTTCGGGGCCGGCCCCGCTGCCCCCGGTGCCCGCGGCACCCGGTGCCCTCCCGGTGCGCTGCTCACCTTGGCGGAGCATCTTGGAGCCGGGGCGGGCGCGGTCTCCCGGCGGCGGCGGCAGGGGCGGCGCTCAGAGCCTCGGGCGCGGCGGCGGCGAGCGGTAGCGGCGGCGGCGGCTGCTGCTGTACCGGGAACGAGGAGCCGGAGCCCGGGCGAGCGGCCCCCGCGGGGGCATGGCGGGCCGAGCCGCAGCGGCACCGGGGAGCGCCGGCCCCGGAGCACCGGGGAGCGCCGGCCGCGCCTCTGCCCGCCGCGCGTCCCGCCGCCGGCTTTTAGGGGGGAGCCGCCCCCTCGGGGCTGGGGCCGCCGCCGCCCCCCACCCCCTCGGGCAGAGCCTATAAAGGGGTGCCCGGTGCCGGTGCCGGTGCCGCGCTGCCTGCAGCGGCGGGCAGGGCTGGGCAGGGCGGGGCGGGGCAGCGACGGGGCGGCCGGGCTGGGCTGGGCTGGGCTGGGCGAGCCCCCCCGGGCCCCCCCTTCCGCCGCCGCCGCCGCCTCTCCCGCCTCCCGTGGACAGTTCGTGAAAGTGCCGCTGCTCCCGTTCCCCGCGCCGCCGCCCTCCCTCCGCCCCACCGGGGGGTATGGCCCAGCGCCGCCCCCCCGGGGCTCTGCGGTCCCCCCGGGACGGACTGTCACCCTCAGCACATCGTTGTCCCCTCTGCCGTCGTCGTTCGCACGATGCCCCGTTATCGCACCGAGGCTCCGCCGCGCCGCCCCGCGCCTGCCGTGGGCACGGCTGTGCCCGCTGTCCCGCCTGCCCGGCACCGACCCTGCCGCTCCCCGGGAACCGTCCCCTCGGCCCCTTATCGTCCCCTCTGTCCGCCGTGTCGCCCTGTCCTGCGAGATGTCGCCGTCCGATGCGGGTCTCTGCTGGCCGCGCTGTCCCCGCCGCCCCGGCACGGTCCCAGCCGCTCCCTACGGTGCCCTCCGCCCCACCCGCTCCCTGCCGTCCCACCGGGGTCACCGGGGGCTCTGCTGTCCCCTCTGCCTCCCGGCCGCTGATGTCCCCTTTGTCTCCCGATTCCTGCTGTCCCCGCGCTCTCCGCCGCGGTCCCGACACCCCGGTGTCCCCGAGCTGTCCCCGCTGTCCCCGGACAGTCCCTCCTGCCTCCTCCCCCGTGCACCACGGGGGGTCCCGTTATCCCCCCGGGAACGCAGCTGTCCCCACGGCCCCGCCGGGGCCGCCGCTTTCCTCGGGGGATCCCCGCTGCCTCCTCGGTCTTCTGTCGTCCCCTGGAGGTCCCCGCTGACCCCGGACTGCCCCTCCTGCCTCTCGAGGGTCCCTCTTGCCTCCTTCCCTCTGTCCCACAGCGGGTCCCGTTATCCCAGCGGGAACGCTGCTATCCCCACTGCCCCAAGGGGGTCCCGTTACTCCACCGGGAGCGCTGCTGTCCTTACTGCACCGTCGGGATCCCCGTTGTCTCCAGGGGGTCCCCATTACCCTCGGGTCCCCCTTGCCCCATGCTTCGCAGGAGCTTGAGGAGGGACACGCACGGAACCGTCACGGTGACAACGTTCCCGGTGCCCCCACCCCGTCCCCGTGTTAACACTGACACTGTCAGCACCGCGAGGGATGCGGCGGGACCACGTCCCCGACGTGAAGGGCGGGCAGCCGCGCCATCGCAGCGCTTGCCACATCCCACTGCACTCCCAGTGTCCCGCCGGGACCGTGGCGAGAGCGCTCGGTCCCCGCCGCGCCGCCCGTCCCGTCGGGGCCCGCCGGTGCGCTCCCGGGCTCGAGCTCTCGGCCGGCGACTGCTCCGGCCTTGCGCGGGGATCGCTTAGTGCTGCCTGCCGCCTCCATGTGCGCCACAGCCATGGCGGCCTCCGTGCGCGCCGGGAGCGCGGCCCCGGTGCCCGCCAAAGGTGGGCTGGGACCGGCTCCGCGCGGGGCTCTTGGTGCCGCTACCGGCCGCTGTGTTGCTTGCCTTGACGGGGAAGGCCCGGCCGGTGGCGGGAGGTGGCTCCTCCACCGTCCCGGCCACCCCCGCCGCCGGCCGGGCCCAGCTGGCCCTTTGTCGGTTGTCCCGTGGGCCGTGCGGGGAGGGTTTGGTGGCTCGTGAGTGCCGGTGTTGGGCTGGAAATAGTGAATAATCCCCCTGCTGTCACTCCCCCGCTGCACTCTGGCATCGCCGAGATGTAGGGGGGCGGCTGCTGTCGGGGGGCGGCTTCAGGATGAGGCTCCCGGGGATGGAGCACCCGGCGCTGGGCGGCTCTTTCCCGGTGGGATAACGGGATCCCCTTGTTGGGAAAACGGGGGTGCATTAGGGTGTCACCGGGGTGGTGGCCGATGAGCCCTGAGGGGCTGTCACCTCGCTGTGGGGACAGCCAGCTGCGCTCATAGCGTTTCACATCCTTACCGCGGTGCTTTCTGGGTTTAAAAAAAGACGCTTTGTTCCCCAAAAAGCGCTAGCAAGCTGCCCCCAGCCTGCAGGGCAGGACCCCACCGCTCTTCCCCGCTTGTCCCCGGGGGTGTGAGCGCAGCAAAGGCTGCGGGTGGCCCGTGGCGTGCGGGCTGCGCTGCCTCTGACGCTCCTTCAGCTGCCACGTTTGTCCCGCAGCCCGAGCCCGGCGGGTGGCCCAGCAGATCCCCGAGGAGATCCTGGGCAACGCGGAGCTGCGGGAGGCCGCGGCGGCCCTGCCCCCCAACTACAACTTCGAGATCCCCAAGACGATCTGGCGCATCCGGCAGGCTGGGGCCAGGAAGGGTGAGCGCTGCCCCGGGGCATGAGCGGGTTTGGGGCTGGTTTGGGGCTGGTTTGTGCTGCTGAGCCTCCCCCCGTGGGGCAGGGGAGGCTGGGGCTGAGCTGCTGCTGTGCTCCCGGTGTGTTTAGGCTCGGTGCTGGCGAGCTCTGCTCCTCTCCAGGGGGGTTAATAGATCTGTATCTCTGGATTATAATCACATTGGACAGGACAGGTGGAGCTGCGTGGACCTGTCAGCCTGGAGATGTGTCTGGGATGCTGGCCAGGTCCCTGCTGTGCTCCTCTTGCCTCTCTCCTCTCTCCCTGCGCTTTCCTGACACGCTGCTGGTGCCGGCAAGGGGGAGCCCCACAACACCGGGCACCGGGTGGGGCTGGCAGGGAGCTGGGCCGTGCTGCTCGCTGCTCTGAACCCTGCTCAGAGGGTTGTGTACCCCCAGAGGGGCAGGGAATGATTGTGGAGGCTTCAGGAGTGGTGCCAGGGCTTTCCCTGTGCATCCCTCTGAGCAGTGTGTGATCAGCTACGGGCACAGGGCTCTCACCCTCGGGTGTCACCAATGTCCCCACCCTGCCTTCACCTGCACACAGGGGCTGCTCGTGGGGCTGTGTGATTTGAAATGCTTTCTATCCACCTGGGAATGGCTCTGCCTGCTGCCACCGAGCCGGCAGGGCTGGCAGGCGCCACGGGGATGTTCTGGCAGCTGAGCTGCTCCCGGCTGCCCTGCCGGAGGGTGCGGGGCTGCCCGGCCCATCCCGGCTGCGGGGTGGCAGTCAGGGCTGGGCGTGTCCCATCGGGACACGGCGAGGCCGCCCAGCCGTGCCGCTCTGCCTTTCCTCGCTGTGTTTTGCTGCTTGGCACCTCCTAATTAAATGTAAATATGCGGCTGGGATTTAGGCTTCCGAGAGCTGGGAGCGGAGCCCATCAGCCAGCCAGCCGTGCTGGGATTTGAGAATCCGCGTGTGCAGAGAGCAGCCAGGGGCTCGTTGCTGGGGGAACGCAGCCTCCCACAGGGCTGCAGCCAGCCCTGCCTGTGCCCTGCCTGCCGGGGGGTTTGGGGGGGCTGGGGAGCACCCCTTTTCCCCATTGTGTTGTGGAAGTGGAGAGCGACCCAGCTGCCTCCTGCCAATCTGCTGTTTGCAGATCTGGGGTGGATGGAACCCCCAAATGGGCCAAAATGGGCTCAGTGGGGGATCCCTGCCAGGTCAGGCAAGGGCTGGCAGAGCACGTGCAGCTTTCCTTGGGCCCTGCAGGTTGGAACAGGGTGGGAATCAGCCTAATTTGAGCCAGGCCTTTACACAGCTCCAGTGGGTTGGGCCTGGAAGCGTGGGGATTTTGTTGGAGGGGAATCTGCAGAGAGTGTTTGGATAGATAGCATGGAAGCTGGGATATCTTAGTGGGATTGGGAGGTGAAACAACAACAGGATTAATGGGGTCTCCTCCATTTACCTCCTCCATCATGGTCCCTGCTCCTCCCCACCACCCCTGGCTGGACCCCAGGCACTGGGCAGTTTGCTGGCCTTTAGAGGAAGAGGAATTGTTCTGATTGTTCTGTGAGGAGGGAGCAAATGAGGAGACATAATTTGTTGTTGGATAAATTCCTGCGAGGCACAATGCTGCGGCTGTTGCTGGCCACCCTCCTGAAATGGAGAGAGAAGCTGCGAGGGAGGTGTGGAGAAGGGCAGTGAGAATGATCAAAGGTTTGGAGCAGCTTCTGTATAAGGAGAGATTAAATAGGTTTAGATCCTTTAGCTGGAAAAGAGGTGAACGAAAGGGGATATGATAGGGATGTAGAATTATGAATGATGTGGAGAGGCTGAACAGGGGATGATTATTCACTCTTTCTTGTACCAGGAGAACCAGGGGCACACGTTTACATTATTAGGAGCAGGTTTAAAATAAACAGAAGAAAGTACCTTTTGCTGTGCAGCACATAATTAAAATCTGGAAGTCATTACTGTGAGAAGTGGGAGAGACCAGCGGTGTCAGGAGGTTCAGAGAGGGATGAGGTGTGTGGACAGGGAGAGTGGAGGTGGCCCAAGGCAGGAATGGCCCAGTCTGCACTCCAGCTGCCAGAACCACCCGGATTTTTGGCCAACACCTGCCTGGTTTGGTGAGCGTGGTTTGTGGCTGCACCTTGAGCTGGTCCCCACTTTAAGATGTCCCTTTCAGCCCCTCCTAACCCCGTGGCTGTTTCTCTTCCCAGTGGCCCTGCAGATGCCAGAAGGGCTCCTCATGTTCGCCTGCACCATCGCTGACATCATTGAGAGGTAAGAGCACTGCTTTTCCCTGCAGGGCTCAGGGCTGGCCAGGGCATGCAGGCTATTGCTGGGGATGGGTTGGCCACTGGGCAGAAAGGAGGTGCTGTGGCTGGGGCCACGACCTGGCTGGGCACCGCTGGGCACATCTGGGCAGCCCTGCGGTGGGTCACAGGGACCTGCTGCCAGCCCTGGGGACAGGGTCCGCCCCGGTGCCAGCCCAGCCCTCGCTGCTCAGTTCTCCTCCCCTCTCTGCTGTGCCCGGAGCTGCTGACAGGCTCGGCATGCCGGGGCCCCGCAGGGGTGCTGGAGCCGGGGAGCAGCCGTGTTAACGAGCGGCTGACGCCAGCCCGGTGCCAGGGGAGGGCCGGCAGCGGGGCCACCGCTGCGGCAAGGACCCAGCCTCCTCCCCCCGGCCTCGTCCTGCCTCTGCAGCCGCGGAGATGTGCAGGGGCAGCCTTGCTGCAGCTGGGGAGGCTCGAGGCCACGGTGATGGCACGGAAAGGGTCGCTCCTGCTGGGTGACCCCTTCTCCATGGCTCCTCTCTTGATTTTTGTGTGCTGCTTGAGAGCCGAGGCTGAGGCGCTGGAGAGGAGCTGGGCTGTGCAGTGACAGGGGATGCAGGCACCTTGTAGAAATTGGCCGTGATCTCTTTCCTGCTGAGAGCGTCTGCCTTCCTCCACACCCACCACAGCCCCCTCCGCAGCCCCTCTCTGTTTTAGCACAATGAATTAGTGCTAATAGCACTTCGTGCCTCGTCTGCCATCGGGGTCGTGGCACTCATTAGCAGCTGCCTTGCCGAGGCCGCTGCCGTGCTGGGTGGGTAGGCAGCCGTGCCTGCAGGCTTTGTCCCCACACTGCCATTGTCTCCCCCACGGCAGCCCCACACTCGGTGGGAAGGTGGGCGCGGGCAGGGGGGCAGGGGATGGGTGTTAGCGTGGGCAGCTCTGCGTGGGTTTGTCCCTTTAAGTGGAGCTGCCTCCTCTCGGCTTTGGCACCCAGCCGCTTTCATGTCTCCGACTTCAAAGGCAGCGGATTAAGGGGCTCTTTTATCTGAATGAAACCTTAAGCCCCACTTCCCGGTGGATGGTGGATTGCAGGGTGCTGAATGCCAGGGTGCCTCTGGATTCTGGGGTGCTGCCATCCTTGCTGGGCTGGTGAGGGGTGCTGGTGGGAGATGGGTGCTGCGTGGGTGGAGGTGCCCAGCCAAGGGAGGGGATGTGGGAGCACTGATGGGATGGTGTTTGGATGTGGGATGGCTTCAAGGCTGAGCAGGAGGGCTGTATCCTTCCCTCACTGCCACCATGCAGTACCCAGAGACACCCCACTGCCACCCCCTTACTGGGAGCACTGGGAGCCATCTGTCACCCTGGCTGGCGATGTGGCTGTGCTGGGTACCAGCACTGCCAGCCAGAGGATAGTGGCTGTGGGCAGGATGAGCCCAGCCCTGTATCCACTCTCTTGGGGACACACTGGGGACCCAGTCACACTGCTGGAGGTGAGGTGTGAATCGGCAGGTGGCCTCGTTAGTTCCTGCCTCTTCCTCCTATTAATATTCATCGCCAGCATTAATGTGGAATGGAAGCTCGGCCACCCGCTCCTGCTGGCCCTCCTCACCCAGTGCTGGGGCCGGATGAGCCTCCAACGTGACAGGAATCGCTGCAGCTGTCTGCTCTGGCTGCTGTCACCAGGCTGGGGACAGGGGCTTGGGGTACCATCAGCCCTGGGCTGGTGTCCCCTTCCTCCTGGTGACAGAGAGGATGTGAGGGCTGAGCGTGACAGGAATACCTGTGTGCCCACTGGGGGCATTGCTCAGCGAGCAACCCCTTTCCCAGCCCATCCCCACAGCCTCCTGCCCTGTCCTTGCTGGTGGGAGTTTGGGGAGTGAGTTCCCCCTCCCCTGCATTCTCTGCTGCTGGCTGCAGAGCCATGCCCGGTGTGGTGCCCCTGGGGTGACAGTGCCCACCCCTGTGTGTTTTGGTTGAACTGGAGCCGTGTCAGCTGCCACTCAGACGGAATATTTATCCCTTCTGCTGGAGCTGCCTTTTAATAGAGTGTTTGTGCCGCTGGTGGTGCTGGGAGAGCCGAGAGCGGGATGTGCCTCACTCCCCCGCATCACAGGCGGCTCGAGGGGGACATGGTGCTCGCTGTGCGTCTGTCTGTCCCCGTGCAGTGGGATGGCAGTGTCAGCACGTCCCTCGCTGCCGTGTGGGAGTGAGCAGGCCCCCGGGGAGCTCCGTGGAGTAAAGAGGGGAGGGGGGAGGCCAGGTGGGGCCTGTCTGAGCTTCCCAGCATTGCAGTGGCGCTGGCCGAGCCCCGAGGGGCTGCGGGGATGAAGATGTAGCCGAAGCATCACAGCCGCCGCCGGAAAGGCCGGTGGGGTTCTCAGCCTGGAGCCTTTGAAACCGAGAGCACACTCGGAGCACTGACCGGTGTGAGGCCAGTTAATTACCGTTAATAGGTTTGTCATTGTCAAAGCTGTGCCGGGGCGAGCGGCCGGGCTGCGGGGGGGCGGTGTCGGGGCCGGGGTCTGCGCGCTGCCGGCGCCACATCACGACACTCCCGCGGCACCTTCCAAATTGGCTCCATTTGTCACGGCTGATGTAATTCGGCAGAGAGGAACTCGTGCTGGGGGGCGGCAGCGTGGAGAGCCGCGTGGGGGGAGCTCGGACCACAGCTCGGGGAGGGGCAGCCCCCCAGCCCACCCGCTGTCATGCCGGGGAGGTGGCAGTCGTGTCCCCCTGCGCCACCAGCTTGCAGCTGGGGGCTGTGCAGCCAGGAGCGGGACCCCTGCTCCCCTCCCTGCCGGGGCTGGAGCAGATGGATCAGCTGGGCTCTCAGCTGGGCTTTTGATTCCGTGTTAATAAAGTCGGCTGTCGGGCTTCGCAGCTGCTAATCCCTCTGTCTTCCTGTGCCACGCCGGGGTGAGAGGCTCCTGCTAATCAGCCGAGGCTTGGTGGCGGCTATGGGCAATGGCAGGGGGGCCCAGGGGTGTCCTGATGCCTGCAGAGGCTGCCCTGCCACAAGCTCCCAACTCCCAGTGGCTTTGAAACACCTTTTGAAACACCTCCCAACTCCCAGTGGCTTTTGAAGAACCATGAGAGGTGGTGCTGGAGGTGCACAGACCATCCTAGTCTCATCCTGGTGACTCAGGAGCAGACAGGGACTTTTTGGAGTGACAGCAGGTCCTGGTTGAGTAATAAAGAGTTAAACATCTATGTGCACAGCCCAACAGCTGTGGCAGAGCTTGAAGTGCCCCACTATGGCCAGGACAAAAGAGGCCCTGATGGATAGTGTGCCCCACAGTGCCATGGCTGGTGTGCCCAGCAGGTTCCCAGTGCCAGCAGGTGCCAGGTCCCTTGGCCAGGCAGGTCTGCCATGTGGCACTGAGCAGTGTGGGACTGAGTGCTGTGATGAAGCTGGCAGCATCACCAGGAGGTCCCAAAAGGCCAGCCTGGGACACTAACAGAGATCAGGATCTGGCCTCATCTGCACAGTGCCGTGGCTCTGCTGGCAGTGCTGCCTTCCCTTCTCCCCTCGTCCTTTTCAGCACAACCTGGAGGCTCTGGCAGCGGGTGCACGCTGTGCAGGGGAATTTAATCACTGTCATTAACCACACAACAGCATCATTAGAGAAATGAAGTTCTCACTTCATTGGAGATGCTCAAAACCTTCTGCCCGGGTGGTGGCTGTGCCAGGGGGATTGGGCCAGGGGGAATGTGTGGGATCTATAGGGATGTCACCTCCCAAGGCTGGGGTGTGCCAGCACAGGTGTGATGCCACCACCAGTGCCCCATGCCAGCTCCTTGTATCCCACAGAGCTCTGTGTTGTGAAGAGGGGACAGTCACCATCCAGACACGGGATGGTCATGGTGCCTTTACAGCCAATGTGCACTGACCCTTGGTTTGCCTTATTTTGGGGTTTTTTTTTGCTGCTACAGGACCAGCAAAGTTGGGGTGCCCTGGGACATGCCCCTTGAGAGGTGGTGTTTGCCCCTGCCACCTACAGTGAGGACAGAGTGGGAAGTCTCCTCAGGGGAGGGGACCCAGCTGGAGATGGTTCCTCCTGGGGGGGTGTGGGGACACTCACCTCTCCCCATCATGCCCCACTTGCAGCAGCTCTGTGGGGCTCCATCCTTGCCCAGCTGCAGCCGGGCTCTTCCAGCACCAACTGCAATAAAATCGCAAACTCATTATTTTAATTATGTGCAGCCTTCCTGTGCTAATGAAGTTGGGAGTCTGGTAATGGGGCTTGGTGATGGGCTTCTCTGCTAATTAAGTGCACTGTTCTCAGCCAGGGCTGGGCTCGGCCCCCACAGCCCAGGACAGCAGCACCCACGGGTGTCCTGGGACACGCTGGGCTTGGGCACTAGGAGTGGAGTTTGTGGGGTGGTTGTGGGGTGGTTGTGGGGTATTTGAAAGGTCACGTGGAGGTGAGGCAGGTGGCTGTGAGGCCAGGGGCAGTCTGCACTGTCCCTCTCATGCAGACATCCTGGCATCCCAGTGCTGGCTCCATCATCCCATAGCGCAGGGGTGCCAGGAGTGGCCACTCTCAGCCCAGTCCCCTCAATCCCTCCCCTCAATCCCCTCCCCACCAAGGGCTGGTGGACACGCAGGGGCTGAGGACTCGTCCCTGCTGGGGAGAGCAGCTCTGCCTCACGGCTTGAGGACCAGCACTGTATCATTCACACACTGCCAAGGGACCTCGCGCTCCTGCCAGCAGCAAATGCTCTCATTCATTTTTCGAGGGGCTGGGATAAATCAGGGCTGCTCCAGCCAAGTGCCTGTGCTCAGGTGACAGGGACTGGCTATCCCATGCTTGGAGACATGCAGGCCCCATGTGTGCATGTCTCTGACCCAGCGTTTTCAGCCCCAAAACTTGTTCCTGGATTGCTGCTGCCTCTGTCCTGCACTGGGGAGCAGGGCTGGGAGGGCTTGGGGGTCCCAGCTGGGATCGGGGCCGGGACCTGGCGTGCCCTGGGGCACATCCTGCCAGTGCTGAGCATGGCGCTTTATAAATGGGATTTTGGGAACCATCTGTTTAAAGGAGCAGATAATGAATTAGGGGGAGATGAGAAAAATGCTAAGGCCAGGCGGTTTTTCAGAATGAGCCGGGGTTTGCGGGACGTAAAAGATGAATAACCTCCCCACGTGTTCAATATTCATGAGCTCCCAGCTGTAATGAGCATCTCAGCGCTGGGTGGGGACATCCCTGTCACCACTGCCAGCATGCTGCTGGGACCTATCCGTGGCTGTGACAACTTCCAGGGACACAAAACACTGACAAGGATGCTGCCTTGGCTGCCCCTTGCCCACGTCCTGGTCCGGGCTGGTTGGCAAGCAGCTCCTTAGCCTGTGTTGGAGGCAGGTGGCTGCTAATTGACATTTCCTTCCTCTGTAGTTTGATGAAAGACTCTGGCGACACTGAACTGATTAAAACATCAAGGGGAGGCCCTGGTGCCTGCCTTTGATTTGTCTCTGGAGATGATTACGGCTCCACTCGATTGTCCAGCCCAGCCGGAGCGGGTGATCCTGGTGTGTGCCATCCTGGAGCCCCTCCTGCAGCACCACCAGGCTCCTGGCCTTGCCAGCACCATTAGGTTCCCTCCTCATCAGGCACCATCCCGTGGCCTCTTTGCTCACCTGTGACTCCACTCCCTGTAGCTGGAGGAGGAATCTTGCCCATGGCCAGCACAGGGCTCAGCCTCACCTCTCCCTGCCCAGCTGCAGCCCCACACACCGGGCAGGGCCACAGGCACCTCTGCCCTCCTCCTTCCACTGCTGCTATTTCACTTTCTTGCTCTTCACCCCCAGGGACTTTCTCTGGGGTTTGGGCCAATTTGCATACATTTTAATCTATAAAAAATTAAGCGGCGCTGGCTGCCGCTCTGAGTCAGACCTCCCCATCCTGAATCTTAAGGAGCTGAATAATTTTCCACTTTTGCTGAGATGTGTGGAGTCTGATTCACGTTCATCTCATCACCTCTCATTAGAGGAGGGGGCTGGGGGCTCGGAAGGGTGGGAAGAGCCTTCTGGAACCTTCACTGGCAGCCCCCAGCCCCACGGTGTGACCACGTGGGCAGTGGAGGAGCCATCCTCCCATCCAGGCCACGCTGGCCATGAGGAATCTCGGGATTTGGGTGCTGGCAGCATCCTGCCCATCTTCTGACGTTCCCCAGCTGCATCCCCAACCCTCGTGGAGTGGGAGCTGCCCAGGCCGGACTCAGAGGTGAGGATGGCTGTGCCCCCTCCTCGGGGACGCTCCAGCATTGCTGCTCCCCTGTCCCCCTCCCCGGGCGCTGACGGATGGGCCAGAGCTGTTAATATTCAGCACGCTCCGCCATTTCTCCACCTTCTGCCATCTGCCCAGCTCTGCCCACCATTTCTATTCTTGCCGCCGACGTAACGCTCCCTGCCTGGCGCTCGGGGGGAGCGCGGGACCCTGGCCCCCAGCCAGCCATGGGTGCTGCAGGGGGTGACGCTGTGCCAGGGCCCCCTCCTTCCCAGGTCCCCGGTGCCAGCAGCAGGGGAGACCCCGCTGGCACCGAGCTACAGCAGGCCTCAATTAAATGAGGAATTAGCATCTGGTTTAAGCAGCCCCTCCAGGCACGGGGCTTTGTCGTTGCAATACCTGCTCTCATCCTGCTGCGGCAGCTCCCTGGGAAGGTAGCCAAGCTAATAATCCCCCAAAATGGTGCAATAAATACCCACAAAGGTGGTGCCTCTGAATCATGCCAGAGCCTTGGCTTTGCTGCTTGGTGCTGGTGTGTGCCCCTTCATCCACAAGCTGGCAGGTGCTTGGACTGGAGCACTGGGTGTAGGGGACAGCACCAGTGGTGGTTTGGTGCTTTCCCTTGCCGAGTGCCACTTAAGCACCAGCTCTTCTGGGGGTCACCCAGCTTGGCCAAACTGGCATGCAGGGCTGACACAGCCAGGTGCAGATTGGATTCACCAGCTCACACAGTGCCCAGCCATGGGGTGCTGGTGGCTTGGCTGGCACCACAAGGGATGCCAGGACAGCTGTTCTGCCCATCCTGGTGGCTCCAGTCCCCAGGGCTGGCTGGTGGAAGCGGTGGCACCACGCTGTGCCGGGTCTCCCTCTGCTGCTCTCCCCGCTGGAGCATTAGGAATCTGGCAGCGTATTGTTTGATGAGTGGATAATCCGCTGAATTGCAAACAGCTTTACCCAATTGAAGAGGCGGATTACCGCTCTCCAGCTTAATCATGTTGACATCTCGGAGAGTAGCCAGTGCTTGTCCTCTTCGGCGCGTGGCTCGGTGGCAGCCCGGGTCCCCCATAGTGACATTCTGGGGCTGGGGGGCAGAACCTGGGCTGCGGTGACACGGCTGTGACCCTCAGTGCTGTGCCTCCCCACAGATTCACGGATGCAGAGGCTGTGGTGATGGGTGACGTGACCTACGGCGCCTGCTGCGTGGATGACTACACGGCCCGGGCCCTGGGCGCCGACTTCCTGGTGCACTATGGACACAGTTGCCTGAGTAGGTGACACCGAGTCCCGGGGTGCTGCTGGGGTGGCACTGTGGAGGCTGTGCTGCTGCCACTGTGCCACGCCGAGCAACTCCGCACCCATCTGGACGCCAGCTCGGAGACTAGTGCCAGCCCCAAAGGGCTTTCTGTTCTCTGGCTTTGGATGGGGCCAGGCTGGCTGGGTGGCTGCTCACGGGCAGGATTTTGGGCGCAGCAGACCGTGCTCATCCTGCTCGGCCGCTGCGGCAGCGCACGGATCCAGCCGTGTCCCCGGGAGCAGAGCAGCAAGGCCATGCTGGCAGGACCCTGCTGGCCCAGGGGATGAGGCTGCTGCTGCTCCCCACCTGGCCTCTGTGGAGTGATGACAAAGGGAATGATGGCAGAGGAGAGCAAGGACCTGGAGGTCCCGCTTGTCCCGGGGCCAGGAAAGGCAGCTTTGTGGGTACAGTGCAGGCTGGGCGGGGAAGGGAGGAGGAGGAGGAGGCTGTGTGCTCCCCAGGCGGACAGTACTCTGGATCCAGTTGCCATGGAAACTGCGCTGCTGTCCCAGATGCTGCTAACTTTGAAGTCCACCCAGGATGGAATCAGCCCAAAAATAACAATAAGACGCTCTGGGTTTTAAGGTGGATCTGCAGAATTGCCATAGTGAGTAGGAGGTGTGTGCATCCCTGCTGCTGCCACGCTCCCAGCACCTGGCAGCCCTCCTGGACGTTTATGGGGCCCTATAAATGGGTTTGAAGAATTGCATCAGGGTCTGTGTGAAATACTGACTCCCCAGTTGAGAACTCTGTCCTGAAAGCCACGTTGGTGTGAGCGTTTGTGGTGATAAATATGTGTGCTAGGTGCTTTGTTAAGGAAGGAGGGTTATGTGCACCGCTGGAACAGGGAGTATAAAACTCCTGGTTTGTAGCCTGCTGCTCATGAATGAACAGCAGGAAGGGGAGGAAGGGGCCATATCCATCAGGCTGCTCCAGGGAATGGGAGCCACATCAGCTGGAGCTGCTCCCTGCAGGGACAGGCAGGCACTGCCAGGCTGACTGTCACCAGCTACCATCTGCTGCCGTGGCCTCGTTGCCCTTGCCTGGTGTGGGTTGGGTGGGTCACAGGGAACCCTGGGTTACCCATGGGCTGCTGTGAGGATGCTGGGCTCCTTTTGAGCTGCCCACAGTGGTCCTGTCACCAGGGTGGCCAGTGGTGAGGCACACGATGCTTCCTGCTCCCTCCCAGCTCCACGTGCCCCGCAGGAGGGAGTAATTTGCACTTAATTGTGATCAGGCAAAGAGCACCAAAATGGGAAGTGAACATGGAGCTGTGGATCGATGTGGACTCTGTGTACTTTAATTATTCACTTAATCGTGGTGACAAAGGCTTCTTAGCACCAGGGGTAATTAGATTTGTGTTCATTGATTCCCCAGGCTGCCATTATCTGGAGAGAGCTCTCTGTGGCTCCCTTCTGCACCCCTGCCCTGGGTGCCAGCACAGGCAGAGGGGTGGCACAGCCCACCCTGCCTATACTGGGGCAGTTTGGGGCACAGGGAGCCCCACCAACATGCTTCATCCCCCAGCTGCAGGCAGCAACAGCCTGGAGCTCGCTGGAGCCCCGGGTGTACCCCACACTCAGACCCTGTCTCTTCCTGTCACCAGTTCCCATCGACTCCACCCAGGGGCTGAAGATGCTCTATGTGTTCGTGGACATAAAGATCGATGCATCCCATTTTCTTGAGACCATTCGCTTCAACTTTGCAGCAGGCAGCTCCCTGGCCCTGGTTAGCACCATCCAGTTTGTCTCCACTTTGCAGGTGAGATGGAAATCCCTGGCTTTTGTCTCCCCCTGAGTTTTCCTCTGGCTCAGCCCTTCCCCGTCCCAGCCCCGCGGTGGGAGCGGCTGCCCCGGGGTGCTGGTGGAGCTGGTTCCCCTCTGACGAGTCGCTGCAATAATGTGGTGCTGCCATAACGTTGATCAAGTACTTTATAATAACTCTGATCAATGTTTCATGGCGGCACCCCTCCCCAGCTCCCCCGGGAGCTGCTCTGGAAATGTCAGGGCAGGCGGTGGAGCACTTGGCATTTTGATGCAGTGCCGGCAGCGGCCGGGGAAGCTCTGTCTGTCTGCCCCTGAACGGCCTGCTGGGCAGGAGGGGAGGAGATGAATGAGCCTCTTGAGCCGTGTCTATCAAAACACGGGGCTATCCAAGCGTTAAGCCTTTTCCCTTGTCTTTTAATTGATACGTTGGTTGAGCCTCGCCGAGCATCCCCGGCTGCGCGGGGCTGTTCCTGGTGCCACCCCGAGCGGGCTGGTTCCCCTCCACCGGGTCACGACGGCTGGGACTGCCAGGGTTGGGGTGTCCCCAAGGGTCCTCAGCCACCCTTTGTGCCGTGGCCTGTCCGTGCTGACCCCACGTCTCCCACAGGCAGTGGCACAAGAGCTGCGCTCTCAGTACAAGGTGTGTGTGCCCCAGTGTAAGCCTCTGTCTCCAGGAGAGATCCTGGGCTGTACGTCACCCCGGCTCGCTCAGGACACGGATGCCATTGTGTGAGTACCCAGGGTCCTTCAGCACCCTCCTCCCTGGCCCAGACTTGCCATCCTTCCTGCACCCCTTGCCTGGTTTTGTGCAATTTTAAGGGGTGGTGAGGGCTATCCACAGGCTGGGATGGGCCCCCTTCAGCTCCTCACGCTGCTTTAAGTGGCGTGTGCTTGTAGCATGGAGGAAATAATTGAGTCGTATATCAGAATAGATAATAGATGGAAGGGCGGGTGGATAATTGGAAAAGACAAATGGCCGGGGCCCAACATCACAGCAACATTAATTTTATTTAAGGACAGCAAATTAGAGGGAGCACTTCGCTTCCTATCACCTAATTATTTTAGGTAATGGAAATGCTTAATGTACTGTGAATACAGTGTGCTGCAGAATAAATAAATACAAGGACCCCACCCTTGGGGGGAGCCGGGGAGCCCAGGTGTGGGTTTGGGCCCTGCTGAACTCCTTCTTGCCCACGCTGCTGGGAGCCAACAGCACCAGTGCCTTTCCAAGCACAGCCATGCGGGGAGCTGGGCTCCAGATTGCTGGACACAGGGGCAGTGAGAGCTCTGGATTCATCCTGAGCCACTTTCTGTCTCTCCAAGGACATCAGGAGCAGGCAGGGGCAGCCGGGCTGGCACTGCATTGGTGAGAGTGGGTCCTTGCAGCTGGCACAGGAGCGGCAGTGCGGTTCCAACCCGCGCAGGTGCACTTGGCCTTACCTGCGTCCTCCCTGCATTATTATTTTCTTCTTTGCACCGTCTCTGGGGCTAACTTTTGCAGACAAATTAGCTTTGATCTCCCAAAATGTCATTCTCCAATTAAGGGCAAAATCTAGTCAAGTTTTACGTCTGAATTCATTTTCCAGGCCCTCACTCCATTAGGGCAGCTGAATGAAAGGCTTTGAAATGTAATTGCTGACTGGAAATCCGATTAGAAATGGAAGCAGCAACGTCTAGAGCCAGCCATTGAGATGGAGCAGCTCCCAGCCACCCCGTGCTGGTGTGAGCACCCCTCCTTGCTCCGAGCATGGCTGCCTCTCCAGCCCTGCCATGCCAGGGAGCCCTGGCTGTGCCTGCTGCCCCTGGGTCCCAGCACAGAAGCTTGAATTCCTGGCATCTCCACTGTGCTGCAGTTTGGGAAACCAGTGGACACGTGGATGGGGTGCTGCTGTTTCCCAGTGCCATAGCTCTCCCTCCCCTCTCGGCAGGTATTTGGGCGACGGGCGCTTCCACCTGGAGTCCATCATGATTGCCAACCCAGGGATACCTGCGTACAGGTACAGGCACCCACTCCAATCCCATGGTGGGGACCACCCCATCTGTCCCCCTGTGCCCCCCAGGGCTGGGCAGGCAGCTGCCAGCAGCAGGCACGGGCAGGTGAGAGGCCACGGGGTGGGTGAGGAGATGCTTGGGGGAGATGAACACCAGCCATTTACTCCAGCTGAATATAAACATTTTGACAAGTACCTGTGAAAGCTCGTGGAGGTGCAGCCATTAAAGCCCGGCTGCTGCAGGCAGAGGCCATAAAGCGCGATGATGAGGCCGCTGAAAGCAGATGAAATATCAGGAGTGAAAGGCTGGGCCCATTTGGAGGAATCTGAATTTCCTAGTAGGTCGTTTGTTACAAACGGGAGGCGCACGTCAGGTTTATGGCGCTGGTGAAGCTGCCGAAACCCGAGTGGGATTTGATTAAAATTCTCCTCGTCAAACAAAGCAACAAATCAAAGAATTCTTCATAATTGATGAGCCAGGATGGGGGGGAGCTGAGTGTGAAGCCGAGCACGGAGCTGAGGCTGTGGTGGGTGTTGGGGTGCTGTGGTGGGACACTCGTCCCTATCCCTGTCCTTGTCCCCTAACGAGCCGGCTGGGTCCTACATCAGCCAGGAGGACAGATGCTGTGGGAGGCAATTAGTGCTAATGAGGGACAGGCATCACTGGGAGGAGGGCAGGTGATGGAGCCCGTGTGAGCCTGGCTGTGCTTTGCAGGTACGATCCCTACAGCAAAGTGTTCTCTCAGGAGCACTACAGCCACGAGCGCATGCACCGCGCCCGGCAGGACGCCATCCGCACCGCCAGCTCTGCCCGCTGCTGGGGACTCATCCTGGGCACGCTGGGACATCAGGGCTCCCCCAGCATCCTACAGGTACCAGCCCCTTCCCCAGTGTCCCCACCAGGCACCAGGTGCTGCTGTTGGGAGGGGGAAAGGACTGGTGAGGGATGGCACCATTGCTGCCAGGGTGAGGGTGATGGGCACCGCTGGCAGCCCATCAGTGGCCATGGCCCCGGTCTGCGTGGGCAATTAGCAGCAGACGAGGGGGGCTGGACAAGGGCTCATTAAACCCGTTCCTGGGGAGAGCTGGCCAGTCTTGGAGAACACACCCCCCCTCCCCCCAGACAGCTCGGCAATTAATTGGCTGGATTTGTTTTAATTGGATGAACTTCCGATCAGGTTCAGCATCCCTGCTCAGCTGCCGTGCTGGCTCTTTCTGCACCCCGGCTGGGAGAGGGGAGCAGGACTGCAGAGTTCTGCCCTCTGAGCATGGTGGCCCCTCACTCCCAGAAATGCTGGGGTAGCCACAGGTGAGATTTGAGGCAGAGCAGGGCAGCAAGGTCCCAGCAGCTGCTCTTCCACAGTGGGCAGGACACGGGCATGGCCGGGGCTGGCTGGGCAGGGGGCGATTAGTGCCTGCCCTGGAGGACAAGGACATCTCTGGCCCCTCTCCTCCTCCTGCAAGCCCTGGCTGCAGCCAGCCCATGACAGGCGGGTGTCCCAGGGCAGGCAGCCGCTAACGAGAACAGATTGTTGTCATTGAGCAGTAATTACTTCATTAGGCTGAGGCACGTGCTGGGGAGAGCTTGGCACAAGCCGGAGCCATGGCCACAGTCTGGCCTATGACTGCCAAGGGGACACGTGGGGCAGAGCAGGGACCCACAGAGGGTTTGATGGCCAGGAAGGGGCTGTGGGCAGGGCTTGGGGGGCTCGCTGGGGGACCCTAACCCTGCCAGGTGCCTTTTCCCCCCGCAGCACTTGGAGTCACGTCTCCGTGCCCTGGGCCGGCCCTACGTGCGGGTGCTGCTGTCTGAGATCTTCCCCAGCAAGTTAAAGCTCTTCCCAGAGGTGGATGTGTGAGTGCTGCTGACCCCCTCCAGCCCCAGGGTGCCCCATCCCTGTGCAATTCCCGCTTGAAGCTGTCCCTGACACTTCTGTCCTGCTCTCACTGTGCAGGGAAGGGGCATGGCTGTCCTTACCGGGGTGGTGCTGGCACAGTAAGGACCTTCTGGGGTTCTGCTGAGGGGCTTCACTGTGCCTTCTTCTTCCCAAAATGCTCATCCCCACTGTGACATTTCCCTTCCAGGTGGGTGCAGGTAGCCTGTCCCCGGCTCTCCATTGACTGGGGAGAGGCCTTCAGCAAGCCACTGCTGACACCCTATGAGGTGAGCACCCCTTTCTGTTTTGGGGGGACAGTCCTGACTTGGGGTAATGCATCAGAGCAGACTTGGGGATGTCCCTGCATCCGGACAGTGTCCCCTCCTTCTGCATCTGTGCTCTGTGCACAGTCCATGCACACTGCTGGGATATCCAGTCTTGTGTGAAACCGGTGGGATTCCCAGTCCCTCCAGCTTTGCCCTCCTTGGCGCACCAAGCTGGATGCTGGGACCTCTCCCAGCTCCCCCTCTGGGGGCACTGCTCGGGGACTCATCCCCGGTCCTCTCCGCAGGCTGCAGTGGCTCTCCAGGACATCGAGTGGCAGCAGCCTTATCCCATGGACTTCTATGCCAGCCAGTCCCTGGGGCCATGGACGGTGAACCACGGTGGCACACAGCCCCCGCGCCGCGGGCGGCCGGCACAGGTGGGCAGCGGGGGGACACCGGCTCCGCGCTCGGTCCCTCGGGCCGGTGAGAGCACCGGGACGGGCTGAGCACCCGGTGCCGCGTACCGCAAGCGCCACCCCGTGGTGTCGTTGCCACCGAACAGTAACGGGGACAGTGCCAGCCCGGCCCGGGGGAGGGACACGCGGCTGCCCCCGGCCCTGTCGGGGTGAGCGCCTGCCGAGCCCCGCGGCTCCCCGGGAAAGGGGGGGTTCCCCGCGGGGGTGCTGCGGGCTGGGCACGGACTGGCTCACCGCAGCTCCGGCTGGCGCTGGGGCATCCCTGACCCTCCCTCTCCCTGCAGGGGAAGCCACCCGCGACCCCCGCCCCGCCCGAGGGTGGGGAGCAGCCAAGCAACGGGGACCTCGCAGGTTCGTGAGTGTCACCCGCCGCTGCCCTGGGACCGGCAAGGGCAGAGGCGGGGGCGCCGCCGATGTGAGCGCCACCGGGACCCCCGGAGCGCAATGGATGGGGTATCACCCCGTAACTCGACAACACCACTGCCCGCAAGGACCGATCCCGGCTGTCGGCGGCGAGTTGCCCTTTGCAAGGCCGGGCCGTGCTGCGGCCCTGCCCGCGGTGGCACCGGGGGTCGCGTCCCGCCGGGGCCGCCCGGCCCTCACCCCCCGCGACCTCCCGCCGGTAAGGGGGCGCGCGTCACTCCGCGAAGGCGCTCCGCTCGCTCTCCTCTCTCCAGCCAATCAGCGCGCCGCGTTTCGGCGGGAAGGCGGAAGTGGCGCCGCCGGGGCGCGGCCATGGCGGAGGCGCGGCCGCTGCGGCTGCTGGCGCTGCACGGGTACCGGCAGAGCGCCCGCCGCTTCCGCCAGCGCACCGGCGCGCTCCGCAAGGCCCTGCGCGGCCGCGCCGAGCTGGTGGCCATCGACGCGCCGCACCGCTTGCCCGCCGGCGCTGAGGACGACCCCGACGGGGATGACCCCCCCCGCGGCTGGTGGTTCTCCGGGCCCGGCACGTTCGAGGCGGGCGAAGCGGCCGCGGCTCCGGCGGGGCTGGAGGAGTCCCTGTCGGCCGTGGCTGCGGCGCTGGCGGAGCACGGGCCCTTCGACGGGCTGCTGGGCTTCAGCCAGGGCGCGGCGCTGGGCGCCATGGTGTGCGCGCTGCGGGCCCGCGGCGACCCGCGCTTCCCGGTGGCCTTCGCCGTGCTGGTGGCCGCGTTCGCCAGCCGCGCCCCGGCGCACGGACACTTCTACCGGGAGCCCATCGCCCTGCCCACGCTGCACGTCGTGGGCGACACGGACGGCGTGATCGCAGCGGCCCTGAGCAGGGAGCTGGCGCAGTGCTTCGTGGAGCCCGTTGTGCTCACGCACCCCGGCGGGCACTTCATCCCCGCGGCTGCGGCGCAGAAGAAAGCCTACCTGGAATTCCTGGAACGCTTCTGCCCCGGGCAGGGCCAGGCCGAGCGCCTAGAGGCTGGGGAGGTTTGAGAACGGGCTCTGTAATAAAAAAGGGCTCTGGTGAGACACGTGCAGCCAGCCATCCTGTGAAGCATCACTGTTTCCGTGCCTCCAGCGGGACCAGAGAACAGCTCACTGCACGTTCTGCTCTTCAGTGTTCATCCAGGCCAGGCTAAATGGTTCTTTATCTCCCTTTTTTTCAGCTTTGTTGCATACATCAGTATAAAATATATGTGTATATATATATATATGTATGCATATAAAGTTATATATAATGTATATGACATGTAACACATGGGTGTGGGGGTGTGACAGTGAGGGGGTTGAGGGCAGGAGAGTGACACTGCTCTGTGGGAAAGGTGCTTTCAGAGACTCAAACACCTGCTCAAAAAGAGAGTTCCTCAGCTCAGCCACAGGAAGTGTCTGCAGAGCACAGAGCTCTTGCAGTTTTACACCCCAAAACCTCGTGGTTTTTAATACCTGTTAAGCCAAGCTTCCAGCTGGTCTGGGCCTGCAAAACTCTCTCATCCTTGGCAGTGCCAGGGCTGGTGTTTGTTTCAGGAATTAAATGCCTGCTGGCTCAGTGTGCGTGTGTTGAATCTTCCTTGTACAAAGTGCCTCCATGAACAAGAAAAGCTTGTTTGTGGCTCTGTATTATCCAGAAGCACAGGAAAATCTTTATTGCTGTAACAGTTGCAGGTGTCCTGCTCAGTTTCTGCCCAGCTCAGCGCTGGGCACCAGTCTCAGGAGAGGAGTGCTAGGAGAACTTCTCTAACCATGGCTTTCCTTGGGGATGTAGAGCTGGTGAAAGAGGGAAATGGGATGAAAAAAAGTGAATTTCCCCCCTGCTTGAGCAGCAGGGCAGTGCAATGTCAGCTCTGCAAGGCCGCAGGACGCTGTGCTGCAGAAACCCTCCCTGTGCTGAGCTGGGAGCGGGCCTGGCAGTGCCAGGGGTGAAAGCAGCGCCGCAGGAGTGAGCAGCTCTCCGCCCATCGCGGCTTTGCCCCGGTCTGCGGCGCGGTGCTGCTGCTGGCAGGAGGATGTGGCTGTTTCCCCTGCGGGGCTGGGGGGGCTCGGGCACTGCTGGCCGTCTGTGCCACTTCACGTGGGCTGTGTCACAGCTGCTGCGGGGGCGCGGGGTCCCAAAAACCACGGGCTGGGTTTTTGGGGCTGCAGCTGTGGCCGAGCACAGCGACCGGTGTGACAACGCAGCGCAGCTTGTGCCCCCTCCGCCGCGCAGGGACGGCAGCGGCGGCGCTCGCAGCCCCGGGGGTGTTCGGTTGTGGCCGAGCTCCCGGTGCTTTCCCGGTGCGGGGGAGGCACCGCAGCCATGGCCGCCCGCCCGCACTGCGGCCCCGGAGCTCCCGGGCACGGGGAAGGAACGGGAGGAAGCCCCGGGTGCGGTGAGTGAGCAGCACGGTCCCGGCTCTGCAGGCAGCTCCCTGGGTGGCTCGGGGAGGGATGGGTGACCCGAGCTGCCGTTCCTGCCCCTTTCCCGGGGTCTGCATAAAGATGGCTCCTGTCGGGTGTCTGCTGTAGCGGTTTAAATAAATTAATAAAAAGAGATAAACGCGACCTTTGTTCGCAGGAGGTGCCTGTGCGAGCAGCGGAGGGAGGTCCTGCTTGGTCCCGGTGTGGTGGGAGGAGGGAAGCGGCTCGGAGGGGTTTGCCATGGGAATCCTGCCCTCTCCCTCCTTTCCTGGCGAGATGCCCTCGGGCTGGCCCCTGCCTCTCTCGCAGATCCAGGTCTGTTCTTGGGATGCAGCCACAGAACTTGGCTGCCCGCAGAGGTGAGCCTGGAGACAAGACTGGCTGAGTCCTCCCACCCCTCACTCAGCTTCGTGCTGGGGAGTTCCCTTTTCCATCACCCAGCGTGACCCAGGGGAGTTGTTTTTTCCCCCAAAACAGCGTGGGCCAGTTGCTGTGGTTGAGCAGGGGGGTGATGGAGTGAGCCCGGGATCTGGGTGGCAGCTGTGCCACTTGCCTGAGACAAGAGGGCCTGGGGACAATCACCAGTGGCAGCAGCAGAAGCCTGGGTGTTGTCATCCCTGTCCCCAGATGTGCCTTTCCATATCCCAGTGCAGCCACTGGAGCCACCTGTGTGACCTCAGGGACAGGAAGGACCCTGGCTGGGGCCCTGCTTGTGAGGAGCCTGCCGTGGGCATGGAGTCCAGGGCTCAGCCAGGCAGAGCTTTGCTGCCCCTTCCCTGGGTGAGCAGAGCCCCCAGCCCTGTCCCAGTGTCCCGGGGAGGGCAGGAGGAGCCCGGCAGGAGCAGAGACACCGCCGGTGCTGCTGGTGCTGCTGCTTCTGCTGCTTGCCTGCAAATTCCTGGCTGTTTTCCCACTTCTCCCCAGCTCTCCTCACCCCTTCCCTCTGTGCCACTGCCACCTCGAGTTCACTGCCACTGCCCACCCTGCCAGCCACCCACTTGGGCACACTGGGCATGGGTGGGGTTGCTGTGGGCAGCGCTGGAAAAAGAGACCTCAGGTGCGGCTCCTGCCAGGGTTTGAGCCTTACTCATCTCATGCTCTTCCTCCTCAGTCCCTGCTGGCAGGACCTGCCAGAGGCATGGGGAGGGGGCTCTCCTGGAGGATGATGTGTTTCCCAGATGGTTTTACAGCGAGGCTTCCCCAAACCTGCCACGGTCCTGCCTGTGAAGTGGCAGTGGCACGGGCAGGGGACAGCTGGGACCATGCTGGGGCCCCGCTGCTGGAGCAGGACCAAGCTGTAGGGAACAGCCCCCCCTTCCCTGCTTCACTCGCAGAAGCTTCCAGTTGTGGCTGAGTCACTCCTGCTGTAGCTCCTTCTCTCTCCTTGTTTTGGATGGAAGTTTTCCATGGAAACCCACGCTGGGCCGGGCTGCAGGCTGGGATAAACACGGCTGAATCACAAAAGGCCGTTTCGCCAAGTGCTGTCAGATGGCAGCAACAGCATGTGGGGCTGGTGGGCACCTGCCTGGCCTTTGGGGGGGCAACAGCAGCACCTCTTCCTGCAGCCCCCCCAGCTTTGCTGGCTCAGCCCCCCCAGGCCCACCCTAAATTCCTACGGTTCCAGGATGCCACTTGGCAAAGCCAGGAGTGGGTGACAGGTTGGTCTAAGAAGTTTTCTGGGGCCACGTGCTTTCCCAGGGATGCACAGGGAAATCCCATCCGGGAGAGTCCCTTGGGACCTTCGCTGAGGCAGTGTCCACCCCTGTCCTCAGCTGCTGGGCTCTGTAGGGTCATGGCTTGGAGGTGCCAGGAAGACCCTTCCCACCCTCCTGGCCGTGCACCGGGACACGCTCTGAAGCCACTGGATGCGTTGCTGAGGTCAGGCAGTGTTTGTGCCATGCCTGTGCCCTGCTGAGCACCAATCCACCATGGAAGAGGCCGTGGCAGGGGCTGTGATCCTCCTTGGCACCACATTCCTTCCCGGCGATCTCTGTGCTGAGGAGGAGCACGGGAGCTGGACAGCCTCTGTCCCCTGGCGCTGGCGGCTGGCCCCAGGCCCAGCGGCTTGGAAGCGCCGTTGGAAGACAAGTCCTGGTGTCAGGAATCCAGGATATTTTTAAGGACTCTGGAAGAAAAACTGATTCCAGGGTGTCAGCGGGAGAGACTTGGCCTTCAAAACAACAATGCAGCTGGAACGTTCCCGGGCTGGAGAGTGGGGTCCAAGGGGCCACAGCACTGGCCATGGGACATGTCCCCTCACCCAGGGGTACCCTGGAAGGGACACTGATGTCACCGTGGCCTGGACCTCACTGTGATGCTGTTGATGGGGTGTAAACAAGGAGGTGTTTCCCAGAGGATGGAGGGTGGGGTTTGTAGCAGTGGCAACTTTGCTGCATGGATGTGCTGGACGTAGCTGTGGTTTTACCTGAGTGCTGGTAGGACTGCCCGAAAATCCCCATCCTGAGGGTGTGAGGTGCTTGTCCCCTCACCAATGGCAGTGAGGGGAAAAGCAGGAGTCAAAGGGAACAAGCAAGAGACACAGCAGGGCACAGCAGGGACCTGCTACCTCTGATCCTCCCCTGCCTGCAGCTCCTGTGTCCCACTGTGGCCCTGCTGGCCCCTGGGGGCCGGGTGGTGGCCATGCCTGTCTGGGTGAGGGCAGAGCTGCCAGGTGAGCAGCATGACCCCATGGATGGGTGAGGGATCCAAATGGGGCTGCTTTGGAGAGGGAGAGTGTGACCAGGGGACCCTGCGTGACCCTAACTCAGTCTAGGTGGGACACCTGCAAGAGCCCTGTGCTGCAGCATCCCAGGACTGAAAGTTCTTTCTCAGGGACTCTTCCTGTCCCTCTTGCCACTGCCACCCTCACCCTTTTGGGCCTGACCCTACATCCCCGGTGTCCCCATGGGATGAGGTACCTCCCTCCCCTCCGGCTCTGTGGTCACCACAGCCCTTCCAGCCCCCTCTCTCCGCCTCCAGGGCCGTGCGTCCCCGGTGCCCCCCACGAGGAGCCCTGCCCGGCCAGCACCGGTCGCCGCCGGCTGCTGGAGGCCCGGTGCCCGGTGCCGGGGCAGGCCGGGCCGCTCTGACTTCGCCGCTCAGGAATCTCCTGGCCGCGCCGGGCGGGTTGTGCAACCTGCGACCGCCCCCGGCCGCCCCCGCCCCGGCCCCGCCGCACAATGAGCCCGGCCCCGCTTCGCCATTTTGTCGGGAGTCTCTTGCCGGGGCTGGGCGTCGGGAGCCGCCGGCAGGGCCGGGCTTCCCGGCCCTCCCCACCCTTCCCGGCGCCCGGAGCTCGCCCCCGCCGCCCGGACCCTCCCGGCGCGGCCTCCGCGAGCGGCCCGCGGTCCCCCCGCGCACCGGCGGCGAGCCGGGGGGACACGGGACGGGGGGACGGGACCCCGGCTGCCGAGCGGACAGATGCGGCGGGACGAGCCCGGCGGGGACGGTCCCCGAGGGGCTCCGGGTCCCCGCCGGGAGGGCAGGTGAGGGGCTGCGGGGCGGGGGCCAGGATGGGGGATCCGAGGAGGGGGTCCCCATCGTTCCCGCTGCCCGAGGAGGAGCCGCTCGGCGCCCGCCCCCCCGAACAGTAAGAGTTGATGTGCGGTGAGCTGCATCCTGCATGTGAGCTCCTACTGCCCCGGGAGGCGGGCCGCCCCCGACGGGACCCCCGCCCCCGCCGCCTCGGGGACCCCCGGGGGTGGGCGAGTGGGGGGAGCCGGTGCTGCCCGCGGTGCGAGTCCGCCTGTCCCGGCGACCATGGCTGTAGACTGTTACCCCCCCAGCGGCACAGTAACAATCTAAAGCCACGGTCGCCCGGGCGGCGTCGGAGTGGGGGGGGCCGGGAGGGCGGGTTGGGAGGGGGCAGCCGGTGCCTTGGCGACGGCGAGGAGGCGTCCCCGCCACCGCAGCGAGCGCGCCCGACCCCCACCGGCGGCGCGGGGGGGGACTCCCGGTGCTTGGGAAAAGGGGGGAGCGTCGGTAGCATCGGCAGCAT